ACATCCAAACTGCAATAATTACAGCATGGAGAACAGCTTCAATTAAGCTAGAGGAAGCAAAAATCTATCTCAATAAAATGCACAGACAACTGTGAATTTAATTCGGATTATTTCGGTTGTATTAAAATTTGTGCATGCATAGGTATTTTATCTGAGAATAGAATTGATATCTTTGTGGGAATATCGGATTTCAATCTCATATCCATTGCTTTAATAAGAGTCTTTTTTCAAAGACGTCATTGAAAAAAAAAATAAATATTGACTGCTCTTGCTGAGTATATAACAGAAAAAAAGAACAAATATGAAGCGACTAGTTTAACTCGGAGCTATATTAGAAGGCAATATAACGACCAGAATCAAACACTTGACCTATTTTATACTAATCTCTTATGTTTCACTTTATCATCTTGCTGTTAATATCGATTCAATGTGTTGATGGTCTTATTTGTGCTACTAACTGCAATTTCTCTACGCAGATTGATAATATCACTTTTACATCATGTACCGTCGTCGATAAATCCAGCACCGAGCATAACTGTGAAGCTTTATTAACAATAGACTATTATTCTGGTTCAATTATTGGACGTCTCGATGCTATAAAATCTATTTGGCACTATGACTTCTATACACAAACCCACTTTTCACTTTACAATGATACATCTAAGGTAGAAATCGATTTCGTTTGTTCTATGACAAATAATTGTGATCAAGAATTTATCAAAGAAACATTGAGTGGTGACTGGCGTCGAGTCCAAAGTGAAGTGATGCGTTTGAGGAAGAATCTCGCAGATCTGCTCTTTAATTCAAGTGATCTACGACCTGGTGATGGATGCATAGGTCGTAAAAATTGTTCTGGTGAAGGTTTCTGCGAGGCATCCTATATAAATGGGTCTGTTAGAGGTGCAGAATTTGAAAGTAGATGTGCGTATCCTACGAATGAACCGCTTCTTGAATGGATTCAACAAGTAGATCTAAAGTTGCTTTCCGAACAGGCTTTGTATACTTGCAACAAACCTTCATGCGCTGCAAAAACAACAGTGCAACATATCGTTGAAATGATTAAAAATAACTACGTCTTACCATTGAATGTGACCGTTCCACTAAAAACTACAACCACACGATTATCCACAATGTCAACAACAACGAATACGACAGCAATGCTAACAACTCCAAAGTCAACAACAACAGCAATGCCAACAACATTAGTGTTAACAACAACAATAACAACAACATCAGTGTTAACAACAGCAACACTAAAGCTAACAACATTAACACCAATATCAACATCGTCAATATCAACTTCAACAAAGAATGTGGCTAGATCAATTTATTTAAATAAGATTGAAAAACTCCTTTTTGTACTTTATGCAATTCTACTTAAAATTAAAATGTGCCGCTGTCATTTTCTCTACATGAAATAAGTCATATTTCTTGCATTCTATACAAATATTGATCAATTTTTATTAACACGTTGAAACTTCAATACACATACTATGTGTTTTGCGAAAATTTCTTGTAAGATTTTAATGTTCAAAGTGAATAACTTCTGTTTAAAAATTTCCGAATTCTTTGCTGATTAAAGGGTATAAATGGGAGGCGTTGTTCTTTTTTTAAACCGAGAATTACACCTAAGATACGTTCAAAATTCGATGAAATTCTCTCGGGTTTCATCTGATAGTATCGAATTCCGATGATATTAAACCGAAATCGTGGACAAGGATTGATTGTATTGGGTAATGATATACATTTATAATATAATCGATTTTTCTCAGCTCAACTTATTATAAACTCTGTGTATTTTATCTAACATTTGCATTATACTAAGGAAGAATGGTATACTTGTAATTAGTAAAAGAAGTTGGATTAACTGTTACGAATCAATGTTATTTTTCTCTTGGTTGTGTAAAACTCAATTTAACTATTTGAAAAGAATTGTTTCAATTTTTATATTTAATTCGACATAATTTTATATGTGGGCAACTCTCAGTGTGTCCTAAAAGATTGCAATGGTATAAGACTATGGAATGATTGAGCAAAACCTTTCATAAAATAACAACGTGTTGGATATAGAAATACTATTTCGGTTTTATCAAAGCGAGTTATTAAAGAATATCAAATCTTGATCTTAATTCAGTTTGTAAGAGCATGTGGAAAATAATTTATACACAAGAAAAACAGTGCCTGTAAAATACTTATTTCAATACAAAAATCATATAGTCTTAGTGTTCCTTTTTACGATATGGAAAAAGAAAACATGTCATATCTAATATTGACATAATTTTTTTTCCTTCCAAACACACGTTAGACATGATTTTTATTTCTCTTATTTATTTCCGGTATTTTTTTATTTGCATTCGAAGAAAAAGAAAATTTATTAATATATTTTATCTGATTCGTGTAATTTGATTTGTAGAGAAGAATAAACTAAAGTCAGTTACATTCTTCCGAATAGATTTAATAAATATAGGTAAAATAATTACTGTAACAAATCGTTTAAATTTAATTTCATAAACAATACTTTCTATTATAATATTTGTGCTGCTAACCTGCATTTAATACTTGTTGGTAAATAGAATATTCATCAAGTGCTGCTCGAGAATATATGCTTATGTCATGGATTGTTTTCACACAATCATACAAAGAAAATAATACTCAACTTTAATTTCATTTTTTTGAGAGAGAAATAAAGACAAAATAACAACATCAACTATATTAAATATTATCTAATGTTAGTCTACAATATTTTGTCAAATTATGTTTCAGTCATACGCTATGATAATGCTTTGAAGACCTATAATAGATGCCTTTTTTTTGCATTTTCTGTATTAGTTGATGATCAAATTGCAGACTCTACTAGTAGACTACAACAACACCCCTGAAAGAAACTTGATATGGATGCCATCTAAATTTTGACTCACACAATTTATTCTCTTTATTAGTTTATCCTACAACGATAAAATATCAGCTAAGAGATTTTTTTTTCTTTTCAGATGAGTAATGAGAATTTTTTGCAAGACAAACTTGAATATACTTGATAAATACTTGGCATCTATATTGAACTCAATGACAAGAAGAATTCGAAATTTAGAAAACAACAAACATGTGAAATATCTTTGCTACAATGCGTAGTTCTGTTGTGTAGGTTGTCTCTTGCTATATTCTCTGTATTGTTTTTTATTCAAATTTCGTGAGAAAGAAATTTTCAAGAGTAACTATCCAAGATTTATCAATATACAATCTACGACAAATGTTCAAGTGAAATTAATTTTTCAGTGTTTTTTTACTATTATTAGATATAGTTTTGATTCAAATGGTTATAGAAATTGTTGTC